CCTGAGCAGGGGAGCCCAAGGCTGGCTGCGCCTCCGCGCCGGGGCCGGGCAGCGCCTCCGCTTGGTGCTCCCGCCAGGGACAGGGACAGCGGCCGCTCTGCCGACGAGCGCGCCGCAGCACACAGCCGCCGGACCCCGAGATGCGACCCCGGTACGTCCCACGCCTCCCCCCAGGGTGCCCAGCTAGGGCTGCTGAACTTACACGGCATGCGGCTCTTTGAACCTCCCAACCTGCTGGATCTGGTACATTAAGTCCCCGCCGTTCACGTATTCCATCACAAAATACAAGCGATCCTAAAGGAAAAAGCAAACAGTTAGCAGCCCGCGTTATAAGAGCAGGGAATCTGCTGAGGTCAGAAATAAGGGCCAAGGTGACTGACAGCTCCAGGCTGTATTTTTATGGCAGCATAACCACCATCATTGCCCTCCCTAAGGGGCGCAGGTGGAGCTTGTGCTCACAGAGCACTTGCGAGACAGACGTAGCAACTTCTTTCCAACGCTCTCGAGCGCTGCACTTAAACCTCACGCACCTTTGCGGACAGAGCAAGCGGGGAAATTGCTACAAGAGAAGATATTTTACTTCCCATTGACAAATTTGCTAGCGGTCTTCACTGAACCCCTTTTACAGGGTGTTTGATGTGACAAGCTCTGGCCACTATGTCCCCAGGCATCGCACAGCTTGTGATTAAGAGATGCACAAAAGACATTAAAGCAGTTCCTATGGGGACCAGCCTCCACGCGCAGGCAGTGACCAGCGCATTTTGGCCGAGCACCAAGAAGGAGGCGAGGCGGTTACAGCTCACAAATCACGTCCCGTCACTGCGGGCTCTGCCCCGGACACGCGCGGCTGCGGAGCCCCTCTCTGTGCAGGCACAGTGCGCTGCCCTCCTCGCTCCTCCCAGCCTCGTCCCACGGTGCGCTTGAAGGGTTAATGCATGGCTAATTAATTAATTATTAGCGCCCAGCAGGTCAATCAGCGGCTCTGAATCAATTAAAACGCTTGCTAGCAGATGTGATCACAATCACCCACAAACACACATTGACTATGCCTCTAACGTGTGATACCCACTTCATGTTCATTAACTGAGACCCCCAGATGAAAGCACCCCTCCTCTTCCACGCTGTGGCCGCCACGTAGATATAGACCTGAGAAATTCTCAAGTCACCTTCGCAAACGATGTGTTTTTCTCCGCAATGCACGGTCCCCATGGAAAGCCCAGCCTGCGTAGGGGGACGGGCTCAGGGTCGCACCACGGACCGCTCCGGGAGCAGAAGCGACCGCTGCGTGCTGGCGAGGGCGTGCAAACCCCTCCGAAGGGCGCACACGACGGCTCCAGCATTCGCTGCTGACACCAGTCTTGCTGGATGTCAGCCCAGTCCTCCAAAAGCTTCTAGAAATTTGGCACGGGTGGGCCATCACCAACCTGGAGGAGAGCAGCAAGGCAAGAGCTGAAGCCCGCGTGTTCCCACAGCTCAGGACTGCAGATTAACGGAGCAAAAGCAGCTGCCACGTCTGCAACAGCAGGGATGCAGCATGGGCTCTAAGGCCTGGGATGCTCCTGGCAGAGAGCTGGGCAGGAGGCAATGCCACACCAAGGACACCCGCACCTGGGGATCCCACGCTCTTGAAACGCCACTCTCCTCTGACACAGCTCTTTTTTTAAAATGGGAAATGGCTGCGAACAAAACACGCAAGGCTACCAAAACTGCCAACCCAAGCAAGCGCACAGAACATTTATGGGGGAGAGAAAAAAATGATTGGTTTGGACCATCTGAGCACATGCAGAAGTGGGACACAGCCTGCCATCCGAACGGATCTTCCCTGGCAGCAGACATCTGTGCACCGACATGTGCATGTCGATTAGGGATGGGAACGGGCAAGTCCAACGTAACATCTGGCCTGAGTCACCTTACTTAAAACAAGCAAGTGTTTACAACCTTCAAAAAAACCAATCCCCCAGGCCTTAACGTACGGCACCCTGAGAAATCGATGGGCGGCACAGCTTGGCTCAGCCCAACTGCGGCTCCTTACAGCCACGCCACGAGAGAATGGCAAAAAACCTAGAGGAACGGGAGTGCTTCATGTCCATAGTATTGCAGAATAATTCCTAATATTTCACATTCTTTGCTTCATTTCCTCCTTAAATAGACCTTGCCTTGCTTTTAGGGCGCTACGGACAACGAGCCCAGGAGAGACGCAGACGTGAGCATCGCCGTAACAGCAGCGAGGGAAGAGCACGGGGTCAATCAGCTCCCGCGTTCAGGGCGCTGCACAGCCTCGGCGAAGCGCAGGGCACCCAGACGCCACGGCAGCCTCAAGGATAACTAAATACAATACCTAAGGGGCAATCGGGCAATGTAAAACATGTGGCACTGATGGGATAGAAAAGGGATTTCGGCTTATCAGAGGACTGGGAATTTTTGCACCTGCCCCTCTGTCTTCGAGGGCCTCTTTGCCAACCCTCGCAGTTTCGAGGTGGCAACCGTTCGCTTCAGTAGGAAAGCGTGGAGCAGGCAGAAGTCACCTTCAGCAGCCACTGTCGCCCTCGTCATCTTGTGACAGTAACTGGAAAGCAAAACAATATTGTGCTCGTTTGCAGCTGTCTCCTAAATATATCGATCAACTTTAAGGAGGAAGAATATTAAAAAGATGGTCTCTTCACACAGCCAGCTGAGCTCTAAAAGCAGGATCTGAGCTTTCCTCATTTGGGTGGAAAAGAGAATGCTTGTGCTTCAGAAAATAAAAAATCATGAATACAGCAGCCAGATGGCTGGCCGGCCTACAGGCTGGAACGGGGAGATGCGTACGGAAAGCTGCCCTGGCGCCAGTCTCCGGAGGAAAAGGACTGAGGCTGGAGCATCTGCACTTGCTGAGCAACGGCAAGATACAGATATTTAACCACCACCTACAGACACTTGCACGGAACCAATAAAATACACATGCCCTTTCCTTCCTGGCCAAGACGGACCTCCTGGGGCTTCTTCCAATGCCTCCTCCTTCTAATTAATTGCTCGTTTAGTCCATCTCCTGCCTGATTCCACATTGGCGGTAAGAGGCAGACAGGACAACAGCCAAGTTCCCCATCGAGCTGCTATTTATCACGGCGCAGCATCGCTGGAGCTGTCGTGCCCTTCGCCACTGAGCCCAGCAGGAGTGGAAGTCGGCCGGGAAGGCCGGGCCGGCCTGGACAATGCCGGATGCCCAGCCCCGGCTCCTTGGCTGGCCACCACCAGACCCTGGCAGCTCTCCTCCTTCAGGCCCCCACCGTGGCCCTCCCATCTTCACTCACCCTTCAAAACGCAAGACTTAAGGTTTTTCTCTCTCGCACCAGCCAACTGAACTAACAGCCCAGGCTGAGAAGTGCGCTCTGGACTGCGCTCCCAGAAAGCAAAAAGTGCTTTGTGCCAGCATTCAATAATACACCCTGCTATACATTTTGATTACATTACAAATATGATTACTATTAAGCTTCTATAGGCCTGCCAGGAATAAGCCTGCGCTGACTCACTTCAGATGCCCCAGAGATGCTGTGTGAAATAGCTGCTCCTGCCACATTTTGATTACTGTGCTGCAAAGCTGGTCCACGCGCTTTAAATACACTGAATGTCCTCGGTAAATGAAATTGCTGGGATAATATTAAAATGTAATCCTCCTGGATGGCATTGTCATCTTTCTAAGGAACTATACCGATTACCTCTCCCTGCGCCTGCTGACAAGTACCTGGACATTTTCATTTACATGTGGCTCAACGGCTGGCCAGAGATTGCTTTAAAGATCCCCCTGCCCCACTCCCCATCCCTCCCTATTTCTGGTTTGTACAAACTGAATAGCATGCCCATTTCAAACTGAATTTCCGGCATTTTGTATAAGGTTTCGCTGTCTACTCAGGTTTTTGATCACAAGAATGAATCCTGAGAAGTTCAGTACTTTGCTATTGAATTATAACTCAAATCACAGGCTGCGGGCTGTCTAAAGGCTAGCTAACGCAATTAAAAGTTGCCCAATGAAAAACTCTCGGGTGCAGATATTCTCCGTTAGAGCCCCCAGTGTAGCATGCATACACAAACATTTTGTTTACAGATGCATTTTTGCAAGGAAATTGTACAATTTATGAGGTTGCCAAGGGGAAAAACATATGGCCGTTTTCACAAATATAGTGATGCATGTCCGGAAAAGAAACATGAATAAAAGTTAAGGCTTGTTTTTGAGAAGCTGAAAATATGCGTCCACGGCAGATTTCTCTACGGATGCCCCTACACAGCTCCGAAACGCTCTGCAGTCGCCCAGGAAGGCATTGGTCCTCGGTAACCTGTGAAGCTGGGTCTCCAGAAGGGAGTTTCTGCCCCCACACCCCCCCTCCAAGCCAGGAGATTGGAATTTGTGTCCGAGTGCGCCCTGCCCAGGGTTCAAGGCTCAGCAGGGCTCCCCAAGGCCCCTCCGCTTGGCCTGGGATACAGCAACCGGCGTTCGCGAGGCCTCGCAGAAGGCAGGCTGCAGAGGCGCCAGCACTCACCATCGTTTGAAAGCAGGAGTGAAGCTGCGTCAGGAACGGAGGCTTCCCCGAGAGGGCCAGAACTCGCTTTTCGACCATCGTGCACTCCACGTCGTCGTCCTGGATAACGACGTCCTTCTTCAAGATCTTAACGGCGTAGAGCTCATCCGTGCCCTTCCTCTCCGCGAGCATGACCTGGACAGGAGAGAGGACGCACACAGGATGCAGGGAAGCGCAGATCTGCTGCTCTGCTAGCTTGCCTAGAGTTCAAAATAAACGGCTGGTTTATTTTTCTGTGGCTGCCATTATAACCTTGAAAAGTGACCCAGGTGCCAGACAATGCAGAAAGCTCCCACAGTGCTATTTCCAAAAGTACCGAGGGCCTTATTACCCAGACAAATCTGGTCCAAGGTGCTTTGCTCCCCTTAGTCACAGATCGCGTTTCACCTCCGAGCAAGCGCTGCCGATTCGGCAGCTCTCCGAGCGCAAGCAGAATCAGGGGGAAGGCTTCAAGAGTTTGAACAGAGCCTCCATCAAATCATGAGGTGGTAAAAACTTAAAAGCAGAAGAGAATTAGTACATGGCCAAAAGTAAGCCAAAACCAGGGAGATTTTCTCTGCCTGCCTCCCCAAGACGCGGCAATCAAAGCCCAGCCGTTCCCCGGCCCTTCTCGCAGCCAGTGCCTTCTCTGATCCAGAGGAAACCATTCAGCCTAGTACTTTAAACCAGTTTCACCTATTTGCAGATTTATTTACTACGGTAAATGGGATGCATTACTTCTGCTGGGGCAATTTTCTCTCATTAATCGTATCAACCTCAGGGAGGATTTCCAAAAACATCCCACCGCACTCCATTACTGCAACGGCTCCCCGTGCCGGGGGACTGCCGACAAAGGAACCACGCGTTACGTCCCATTTTCTCTTCTCTCACCGTGTTAGATTCAAGCGCTCAGTGGAAAGGGATTGCTTTACATCTAAAAGAGTCTGCTGAAATCCTCTGGTCACATCGGGAACGAGAGTTAGGATGTTTTGAAAGTAAATTATGGGAAATCAACATCAACAGGGTGCAACCGAAATCCATTTCGAACCATAGCAGATTTGCTCACGGGTCCCAGGGACCGCTTTGGAAACGCAAAGGGAAACGAAGCGGCTCAGGCAGGGGCAGAGCCCACGCCGCTGGAGAAGACCCGGAGACGCGGGGCGAAGGCCGGCAGCCACCCGGCGCCGCGGGCTCCTTCCAGGCCCCTTCGGCTCCTCGTTGGTGCCCACCCACTTGTTGGAATAAAAATAGTAGTAGAATTTGAAAGAGCGCTTTTCTAAAGCATGCGGCTCTTTGGCTCATTTGCTCTGCTTGGCTCCAGCTCGGCGAAAGGCTGGCTGTCCTTGACACGCCGCTTGTTGGGATGAGCCGCGAAAGGCAGCCGGGTGTCTGAGCGCCAAGCGCCTCGGAAAAGCCAGTGACATCTACGTTTTCATCAGCGGGGCACCGGCTTTCGGGGAGG